GGTGGGGGGGCACTTGTCTCTGTGGGATCGTGACCTGTTCATGTTTTATTCAGAGAGTGTTCGGGTGCATAAAGGTATGAATTCTGCTACATATATACATGTGTCCGACAACACATGCTGTACGAAAATGCCACCCATGTTGATCCTAAATAGCTTGTCAGACTGAGGGAAACGTCTCCCACACACAGCCTCCACACAACAATGTTATCCTATAGGCCACAGTTTCCTGTCTGTCCCCTCTGGTTCCAGTCAGCACCCAGGCTCTATATTGGGCAGGGACCAGACCAGGCCTGAGACAATTCCCACTGTTTGACCCTAATACACCCGCCACCTCATTCTTTTCTTTCCTGCCTTTGTTGGCATGAAGTCTCCTTGTCCTTTTTGGATAGGTGAAGCCAATAAGGATATGGTGACTTCCTTGTTTCTTTGTTAAGTGTTTTTTTTTCTAAGGATAGCTGCTTAGATCATGATACCGAGTCCAGCATTTCAACACCGACTGCTAATTACAGACCTTGTTGTCAGTTAAAGGGAACAGAACCTTTCAAACAGGACGGCTTTGTCCTCTAATGTCTGTGTGTGTCCAGCGTCCCACTTAATAAAAAATACAATATATTTCACCCCCACTTCCGTAACAGTGGACAATGGCCTCTAACAATGACATTGTTCCTGAAGGTTACAAGAATGCTGCCCAGTACCAGTTAATGTGCACGTCCACAATAGAGGGAAGGCAGATCATAAGACTGGTTCCCAAATAAGCGCAACAGGAGACAGCACGTGATGTTGACACAAAGAACGCAGGGCCACGGAGCAAGGCACTTTCGAGACCACACATTGTATTTCCACAGGAACGACATTGTTTTGCATATCAATGGAGGGTGCATGTGTGTGGTAAGGTGGAAGGAGGTTGGAGGCGATGATTAAAATGCACCTCCTTGTTTACATCTCGCCGTAGGAGCCCAGCAGGCACCAGTCGCATTTATTAAAGCCTCCTCCGCGGCTACAGTGTATAAAAGTTAGGACTTCTCTCTGCAGCCTGTACTGTACGACGTGGGCTCACGTGAACTGACGCTGCCAGAGAAAATCATGAAAAAAAAAAAAACTTCAAGAAAAACCTCATTATTAACAACATTAGAGGTCGACGGGTTTTAGTTGGCTGGGTGGTAAATTATTTAGTAATAGGCTTAGATTGAAGATTATTAACTCTTTCTAGAGAAAGTGTGTGTATGAGTGTGTGTGTGGGAGAGAGAGAGAGAGAAAGAGAGAAAGAGAAAGGGAGCAATTTATGGTGTGTCACAACTTTATCAAAAAAGGCTTGTCTTTTTTATGTGTCGGCTTCTTTCCCAGTGGATGTTCTCTGCCAGCTGTCTGTGCTGCAGTAAAGTACTGCTTTCCCAAGCTCCAACCTGTGGGAAAATCTGTTGTGGCCAGTAATTGATTCCGCCCTGCCAGCCCCATTACTCTCCACTGCAGTCAAACTGCCAGTGATCTGCAGAGAGCCTGTTAGCACTGCCCCTCTCTCTGCACGTCTCTCCACCTCTATCTGTCTTTCTCCATCGTTCCTTCTTGCTCTTCGTACAAAAAAAAACCATGCACCACCATTACTGGATAACTCCGTCATATTTATGTAATGTCATCTACAGCAGTCCTAGAAAAGGACTAGATACTGTTTTTATAGTTTGTTTATTTTGAATGAAGTATCAAATACCAATACAGAGGGTCCTCAACTTAGGACTAGTTTCTGTGCAAGCTAGTTGGCGAGTTTTAATGCCGTATGTCAGAATGAAGGAACTTCATCCTTAATAAAGTTATGGGACGTAGGTCAAGGGTGTCGTAAACCAAGGACTTCCTGTACTGGTATTGAAAATTTTCCTTTTTTCCCCCTTTTGTTAAATAATTTTATAGCGACCTGAACAGCTCTTTCTCCAGTATTTTGTTTAAATATTTTGCTAATATGACAGTTTACACAGAACCAGCAAATGAAACCTGTTACGGTCATGTTCAGCTGCTCCACCTGTCACGTGTGACTGAAGTCTTATAAAGAGATATGTTGGTTGATAGGCTCCCTCCCCATCCCACAACCCCCACGTTCATCATGAAATATTAAGTCCAGTCATCTGCTGAGATGGTTGAGATGCTGGTCTCAGCCTTACACTCACCAAATGTCTAAATAAAGCCTAGTGACCCCTCCTCCCCCTCCCCCACCCACCCCCTTCAGATTAATCTTCAATTAGGGGTTCAGCTCTGCGCCTTCGCATCTGTGTTCCCCAGTGTCAGCGGGCGGGGGTGAGGGGGATGCCTTTGTATACGAGTGTGTATATGACCTGCTTTAGGCACCAGGACGGGCATTAAAAGTTGTTTTCTGACACACATTCACATGACGACTGTCATGCTGTTGTGGAACCAGCGGCCCCTGCCACACCGATTACATGGCAGGACTTTCACATACAGCCCACATACATACAGGGAGGGACACATGACAGTGACCTACGCAAAGTCGTCGTTTCATGTGAGATGCAAAGACACATGAGAGGCCTGGTGTGGAGTGATTTATCAGGGATTCTCATGACTCTGTCAGGCTTTATATAACTACCAGCTGAGGGGTGCACTTTCCCATGTTGTAAGGGGTCACAGGGCCACCCTCCCTGCACTGTGTCAGTTGTGTTTCACACAAGAATTCTGTTAGGGGATCTAAGAGAGCATGAAAGAGGAGCAGACAAGTGTACAGTAGAACTACCCCTCGGCCCACCGGACTCTGCACCCAATGGAAAGCCCTCACTCACTTTTACCAAAAGAACAAGCCCTGGCTCTGTGTGAGGCAACCCTCCCCCCTCCCCTCGACTGCACTCCCCAGCTGTTGGTGTGTTGCAAACCAGGAGCCCTAAGGCTCAGGGAGCGTGTGGGATGAAGGGATGAGAGAGAAGATCAAAGCAAGAGGCATGAAAAAGCTCAAAGCATACAAGCAGGAGGCACCTCTCTGACCCACCCCCCCCCCCCCCCCCCCCCCCCACCCACACACACACACACATGCATGCATGTGCACGCATACACACACACACACTCTTCATCAGGCAACCATGGCTGTTGCTCCTGGTGGCTGAGAGAACTGAACCAGGGCAAAACGTTTACACATAATTCAGATTAATTCAAATTGCAGCAAGTATCTCTGTGCAGAAACCCAGACTTGATTGAAACTTTTTCACAGGCACCAGCAACAAGACCAGCATTGTACTAGTGCCCATGGACTGTGTGGCACAAACAAGACCTGCCTTCCATCAACGCTCACCAGACTTTTATGTTGGTTGACTTTACTTTATGCATCTTGAGTGTCTCTTTGCACCAGGCAAGCAAACATCGGGTACATTACTGCCACCTACAGGGCTGCAGTGTACACATCAGTGTGCCTTGTGTGGCACAAATGAGGTAAATGATGAGTTTAAATGTGTTATTTTTTATCATTCATTATTTCAATGTATTTTAGCAACATTCTCTGTATTTTTTTTTCATCCACCCAAATTTTTTTTTTCAAACACTGGGCAGAGAGAATTGCATGGAATTTCTGCCACTGCCGTTTTCACAGGTGACACCATTCTCACCTGTTGACATAATAAGATGTTAGCTTTATAATTGTGTCAAGTCAGACTGGTGAGTTACCTTGGCCTTGAGGAACCTCTCTCCATTATTCATGAATCCTCAGGTTGGACCCTGGGAACAGGCTGAGTGAGGCTCTGTGTTAATACGAAACACCGGCCGCCACAATGGGCTCTGCCTCCGACTACACTGTTGACAGACACCAACACAAAGGAGCTGAAAGGGGTCCCCCTCCGTTCTCACACACACCAAAGAATGAGTCAGTGTGCTCACGGTCAGAGCTGTGTTTGTACAGTATATACAGCTTTTGTCCATGGCCACAGTTCTCCCATCAATGGAGGCTGAAGTGTTGATGAAAACCAGGAGGGAAGGACATCCCTGAAGCTGCCAGTGAGAGTTCATGTTCATTAAAAGCACTCTACGCCTGCTGGATGGCACCTGTACGTACTGACAGAAACGCCGGGCGACAGAACGAGACCTAATCGGCTTATTGGAGCTGTAAACAACATTCCACGACATATCACAGTCCAGCTGCTTCGAGGAGCACTGGGATTGTTGCTGGGTGTCATTGAAGTTAATGAAGAATTTGTCTGTGCAGGGTTGTTTTTGTTTTTTGTTTTTTTTAAAAGTGTTTTAGCAATTTTCTTCTAATGATTTTAGCTAAATGTTAGGTGTAACTGGGCTAACCTTTAGCATTAATATTTGCTAATTGTAAGCTCTAGTTTGTACATGTTTACAGTAACATTCAGTTATCTCTAAGCAGATTTATTGTTTCATATTTAGCAATACTTATGGCAATTTGAAGCTTATTTAGGCTAAATTACGTTTTATAATTCAAATGTTTTAAAAGCTGCATTTGAGTTGAACTGTTTGAATAAAATCTGATCACCTTGCATGTAAAATCACTATAAAAACAGTTTTATGTCGACCATAACTTATGCAAAACGTATTTAATGGGGTTTTAATCATTTTTTAATTATTATCTATTAATTATTAGACACAAAAGTGTCTCGATCCACTTTAATTCTGTGTGGAGGGAAGCCACAGGGAACTTATATTTTAGTTTTTAGATGTATCTACAATGCAATAAATTGACGACCGCTCCATCAACAGTCCACAGGCGCCATCTCGTGGTAAAAGCAGAAATGACGGTTGGTCAAAACGAGAGCTCAACTTTGGAGATAGTAGAAGACTCATATTTATTTACGAATGAATAAGCTAAAATATAAAAACGTCGCAATGTCTATGTTCAAGTGTAGACTGAATTTTACGTTCTTTTATGTTTAAAGTTTATATATATTAAAAAATACAAAACATGTAAATATTAGAAAGGCCGTATTTTTACACCGCAATTCTTAAAAAAAAAAATCCCTACCCAACAGCCACAACAATTATCTTTTATTCAAATGGTTTATTTTTAATAAATGTTGTATTCCCGGTGTTGGAGCTGCAGACCCAGGAGTTGGAACGAAACACATCTAATCCCGTCAGCTCCTTTTTTTGCAGCCCCAGAATTCCAGCTGAGGTCAGAACGCTCAGTTTAAACCTAATATTCACACCAATTAATCTGATTCAATCAAAGACACGCCCACTAATCAGCGGATTGTCCCGGTAAGGCCAGCGCCCGCTCGTGATTGGTCGCCGTGGATTAAGCGCGTGCGCGTGCTTCTCTCTAAATATGAACTTCGCTGCCACTTCTGTCTTTCCGTGCTTCGTCTCAGAGGTTATTGTTTGCTTATTTTTTGTCTTAGACATTACACTTTGCCATCATGGTTGACAGGTTTGCCGGAACTTGGACTCTGACTACCAGTGAGAACTTTGATGACTACATGAGAGCAATTGGTGAGATTCGCTTTAGTTTTTTTGTATTTACGTTGATTGTTTTCACTATAAGATAACTTTTCCGGGTGCTTCCTACAACTTTATCTTCACGAACTTTAATTAAACTTCTCATGACAGGCGTGGGGTTTGCCACCCGTCAAATGGGTAACGTGGTGAAGCCCAACTTGGTGATTAGTGTGGATGATGCAGGTGTTATAACCATGAGGTCTGAGAGCTCCTTCAAGAACGTGGAGATTAAGTTCAAGATTGATGAAGAATTTGACGAGACCACTGCAGATGGCCGAGAAACCAAAGTAAGTAACTGGTTTTTGCTTTTGTTTTTGTTTGGTTTCTCACGTTCACCATTATTCCAGACGACCATCACTTTTGAGAATGGCAAGCTGGTGCAGAAACAGACCTGGGATGGAAAGACAACAGTCCTAGAAAGAGAAATCCAGGATGGAAAACTAACAGCTGTGAGTGCCAGTTAAACCTGCATGTTTAAGAGACTCAACATGTCTAACACTGGTTTCTCTCTACAGAAATGTATCATGGACAATGTTGTTGCCCTACGGACCTATGAGAGGGTGTAACACGGGGCTGCTCACCAAGAACTACGAACATGGAAAATCACATGCAAATAAAAAATTAGAACTACAACTTCAGCTTGTATTTCATGAATGTTTCAGTGTTTCATGCACAGATACAAGGTTGTTTGGCTTTTTGTTGACTTGTCAATGAGACCTTAGTTATTAGAATGTGTATTTAAATTATTTTGCTTGTGTAAAATGGCCAACTAAAAACACAGAAGTGATGTATGGCAACCCTGCATATGCTGTACTTGTGGAGATCTGTTGGCAAAAGCTAAAGAGGGTGCATGCCAAGTCATGATTTTGAGGCTAACTTAAATGAAGCAATCACCAGGTCAGATCACCTGAGATTAAAGAGCAGTTGAGACCATGGGGCACATGACAACTGCCTTAAGTAGGTAACTGGTGGCAAGATCCAAATATCTTAGTAATCCACTTGATAATACAAGTGAGACTAGGCAGGTGCTACAAAAAGGCTTTTGTTTAAATGGTGTGTGTGTGTGAGGGGTGGGGGGGATTTCTTGATACAGTAAAAATGCTAAATCCCTGCTGGGATTGGTGGCCTCGTTTGTGCCAGATCTATTGTCCTGGTTTTAGAAAGTTCAAACAAGTGCATGTAATTAGCTGTAATTGGGGTCAGGTGGGGTAGCAGGTTTCAGGTCTAATTTCTGCTGGATAAGAATGGGAGCCCTCCATGAGTCTGCAGGAAACAAAGGCTCATTGTCTTGAACCTTAAGACTTAATCTGCACACAAAATTATATTTGGGAATTTACTTGTTTCCAAGACGGGGGTAAGTGCTAAGACTGACTTAGGCAATTTCATAACTTCTCTTATACAATGCGCACAACGATTTGATGTACTGCGCCTGTGTAGTTGAAGGTCAAGCGCATGTAACGTTTAGCATGTTTGCACAGATGTTTTTAAAATTATTTTCTTTTACAAATTAAAAAAATCTTTGCCATATGTTAAAAACTACTATCAAGCAACGGCTAAATGTAGTTCTTTTTAGTTTCTAAATTCAAGTGAACGACATGCTTGTCTTCAACGTATGGCGCTCTCTAGCGGTTATTCGTACTAATAGCAGGATAAGGAGTCGAGACTGTTTAAACGCAAGGGGAGTTGTTTTCTCACGCAACGAACAAAATGATATCATTACAATTACTTCAACGTTCATAACGTAAATAAACGTTCTTACGTAACGACCTTTATGATTCTATTTGAATTACAATCCTGGCTTCGTCGAGTTGTGATGACTCTCGATGACGTTTCACGTCTCGTTGCGTCATCACTAAACATGGAAGACACAAACATGGAAGTCGATGAAGAAAAGAACAAGGCTTTTACGCCGCTCAAAGATGTCGATACCAAGCGGCGGAGCAGCGACAGCGGTGTCAGAGGAAAGAAGGACGCGGCCGAAAGCCGCACCACATCCGAATACTGCGAAAAGCTTCAGGCGTGGATGTGGCAGTACTACAGCGGTTATATGAACTGGCAAAGCTGGCTGGCAGCGTCAGCCATGTCCTATCCACAGTATTTACATGCAAACAGTGGCACGGTGGCAGCAGCTGGTGATTACACGTCGCAACAATGGTACAACAGTCAGTTTGGCCTTCCGTTGTCAGCCGCTGCCTCCCTGAGTAACCGGACAAGGGAAGATGCAGGCGGGGGGGGCGGGG